GTACACACATGCACACACAAACACACACACACACACAGAGAGAGAGAGAGAGAGAGAGAGAGAGAGAGACAGAGACAGAGACAGAGACAGAGACAGAGAGAGAGAGGTAGGCATAAATAAACATAATAAACAGATAAGGGAAATACAAGTATATAATTTAGGGATTTTGAGCTTCCAGAATATTTTATAATCTTTGCTTTTAATCTTTCCTAAAAACATTTAAAAATTTTTATTTTGGGGATTTTAATAATAACTTCATTTTCCCTGTTTTCCCAGTGCCTCTTTTTATTCTTGTCTCCTTACTACTATTTCTTTCCTTCCATTTCCTTCCTCTATGGTTACATTACCTTTCTTTTGAATCTCACTCATAGCCATTTACACATCTTATCTTTAAAGAAAATAAATAAAAAGGTGACTGGAAAACAGGGAAGGCAATCTCACTGGAGTCTGCCCCACCCTGGTGGTTTTGTCACCTTTCACACAGACAAGCAAGTGAATACATGTGCTTATTTTCCATGGTCTACTCTTGTTAGTCTACTTCATCATCTACTGTTTGTTAGCACAGTGTACATCTCTCTTCTCAGAGAAGTAATGCTAACTGCTTTCCCTAAAGGCTTCTACATCCTCCAATGAAAACCTCCCTTTCTGGTCTTGAACTTCCCCACGGTATGTTTTCCTATGACCAGATCTTCTCTGAGACACCTGAGCTTACCTCAGATGGTTTCACATGTCTGTTCTACTCCCCTAGTATTCTGCAGGACTATTCCTTTTCTTTATTTTTATTTCTGTTATGTCTACTGCATCCTTTTCAGTATGTAGTTCATACTATCATTAATATTTTAGGCCCTTAGAGCCAGATTATGATTTCTGAAGTGCCTCCTTTGTTGACTGTGCAACTATTAGATTTCTCAGCCTCTCCATTGTGCAAATAGCCATTGTTGGATTATCTGCTGTGTAAGCCAAGCTAATAAGTACATTCTATAATATGTATTTCTGTGTATATGTTTGTCTGATTGGTATAAATAAAGCACCATTGGCCAATAGGGAAGTAAAACAGGTGGGACTAGGAGTCTAGGAGGCTTCTGGGAAATGTAGTAAAGAGAGTTATCACCATGTGATGATGGGGAGAGGATTCTTGAGGCTGCGTCCTAAGTAAGATAAGATCTTATAAAATATATATTAGTAATTATGGGTTAATAATTTAGTCAGAGCTAGCCAATAAGAAAGAAAGCAAACAGCCAACATCTTCACAGTTAATATAGTGTCTTGTGTGTTATTTGTGGCCTAAAAGGGCAACAGGACCCAGGTGGCAGGCTGGAAGACTACAGGTTACAGGTATTCATTCCAGTTCTGTTTCTCTACAGAACACTGACTAATGGTGACTCCTTTTCAGTCAATTTATTTCCTTTCAGTTTACACATAGCACCCATCAGTCACATTCCTTACATAGCATTGTCCTGTTTGAATTACTGTATGGGTATAAAAGCATCATAATAAAATCTATTATGTGTAGTTAATATCTACTAATGCAACTATCAAATACTCTCTCTCTATTCTGTCTCCTTTCACTCTCATATTCTTTTGCTCCCGATTCATGGTTTCTCCTATCTTGGAAACACAAGCAGATTTCCTTCACGTTATTCAGATCAAGTTTAAGGAGGCATTTACAGAGGGAAACATATAAAAACACCCACTTCAACTTTAGTACTAGTAATATGAAATCTGGAGGAATTGGTTGCCCCTAATATTTTTCACCATCACCATCATCATCAGCAACAAAATATTTGTTTTAATGGGGGCACTAGGTAAGAAAGAGGAACTAACACGAATGGTGTAATGGCTATCGTATACAGAGGTAGCAGGTCCAATGATATAGGCAGTTAGTTTGTTTCACCCACTGACCCTAAAGAAAGTGGAAGTGAGTTGGGAAAACTACAATTAGGCAACCTAGAATGGAATAGCAGGAACAACTGGAATCAGAGGGCTCAATCTTGCTTTGTGCCAATCTAAACAACAAAGATCCTAAGAAAAAAGAAACATCATTTTCAGTATGGAACATAACCATTTTTAATGCATCATGTAATATTTTTCTTTGTAGTAATCCAGCAGAATAAGGATGAAGACCCAATAAATCTGACCTTTGGCCAAGAAGACCCAATATAGTAGAGAAAGGCAGTGGTCATATCTGTTATGATACTTAGTGCATATGTCTGTTCTCTGTATAGGCTAGTATCACTCAGTACACATAGTTATTTGGGCCACTTTAAATATTGGGTTCCCTAGAAATTTACTCAGAGTTGGTAATATCACTTAGTGAACAAATAGGGGAAGATATGTGAGCAAGATGACTGCTAGTGTACAGTAGAATCTGAGTATACACCACTCTGGTGCAGTTTAGGAAGTATTTTCTCTCACTGGTATGAAGTAGAAATCACAAGGAAATCAAATGAATAAGAACACTCTACAACCTTTTGTCTTTAATTGTGTTTTGAAATACTTATTCATAAAATATTGTTGTCCATCTATTCCAAAAAATAAAAAGAACATTCTACAGGATTCTTTTCTCAATAAATATATTTTGATATATTTAATACCCAGGGGTAGAATCCCAGGAAGAAATAAAAAATATTAAATACAAAGTTAAAATCAAGAGTTTTCCCTTCCCTGTTATGTGTCATTTGGCAGTAAATAAATAAAGTTTTACTCATTGTGAACTCATCGGATTTCTGCTGTTTTGTACATATTTAGCCAGGTGGTGGTGGCATATGCCGTTAATCCCAGCACTTGGGAGGCAGAGGAAGGGAGATCTCAATAAGTTCCAGGACAGCCTGGTCTACAGAGAGAGTTCCAGGACAGCTAGGACTGTTACACAGAAAAACCCTGTCTTGAAAAAAAAGACTTTTAATAAGTACAAATGAATTCAGGTATTTAGGAACACATTAGAAAATAGTTTAGTACTCCCTAATATGTATTACTCAAAAATGTAATTCTAATACATGTTTTGAGAATGAAAAATGAAAGGGATAGGGACAGAGGATCACAGAACTTATCTATGAGTCCCAAGCAATACTTGATAAATCTTATTAGAAAAATTTCTCAATATTTTATTAACTTTAACATTTAAAAAATCATTAAAACACATAAGTTACAAGTTAACTTCAAATATTTTAAATTTTACTCAACTGAAAAATGGCTGACTAAACCCCTATGCTTTAATATTTTGCAGAGTCAAAGAGCTAAATTGGTTGTAGACATAATAGTAATTTGTTTATGTACATAAATCCAAGTGAGAGGCAGCTAGCAGGAAACCAGCTGTTAGGAAGTTCTGAAAAGGAAAAGATATTTACTTGCCTACTAATGTGGACTTTGACTTTGTATATCTATCTTTCTTGGCTTTTCATTTGTTTATTATTTATTTTACATTTATCTCCAATGTGATAAAATATGATTCAGGGAAGAATCCCCAAATTAGTTATCTAATACCAAGTGGTGAGCCCAAGATTTTCTCTCTCTCTCTCTCTCTCTCTCTCTCTCTCTCTCTCTCTCTCTCTCTCTCTCTCTCTCTCTCTCTCTCTCTCTCTCTCTGTGTGTGTTATAGGTCTGAGTAGGTTGCATTTATGTATTTAGCAATGTGTGTATGTGTATATGTAAAATAACAATTAAAGAAAAAGAGGCCACATTCCATATGGGGGGATGCTCTCTCAGCCTGGACACACGGGGAAGGGTCTAGGTTCTGCCCTGGATGAAATGACAGACTCTAGAGATCCCCCCAAGGAGGGCCTCACCCTCCCTTGGAAATGATGTGGGGATAGGGTACTGGGGGAAGGTCAAGGGAGGAGGGTTGGGAGAGGGAGCTGGGATTGACATGTGAAGCATGTATGATTCTAATTTAAATCAAAACATATATTGAGAAAAAAAGAAAAAGAGGCCATAGATCTGACACAGTACAAGGGGTAAATGGGGAGGGGTGCCTGAAGGGAGGAAAGACAAGGGGATATGATGTGATATATTATAATTTCAAAAAACAAAAAAATATTAAAAAGAGACTAGTAGTGTAATTCCACTTAGTAATGAAAACTTAGCCTATAAATATTGTTGTCCCTAATAACAGTTTTCAAAGATTTGGGGAATATAGGTCAAATTCTGTGTTTTATGTATTATCTTAATATCTCATAGTGCTTTTCATGTGTCAATTTTAAAGTTGTTTAGCTTTAGCTACCGAGATGTCTCAGTGATTAAGAAAGGTTTTTGCTGTTTCAGAGGACTAGAATTCTATTGCCAGCACCAATGCTGGGTGACTTACAACTGCCTGTAATTCCAACCCCAAGGAGTCCAAATGCCTCTGACCTTCAAGAACACATGCACTCCTGTGTACATACTCAGTCACTAGTACTCACAGTTAAAACTCAATAAAATAGATGTGTAAAACACAAATGAAACCATAGCCTATTCAAATAAAACAAAAGTGGCAATTTTAGCATCTTAGAACTATGAAGAGTTTGTTTTTCTATGTTCTTATTTTTTCCAGAAGCTTTGATCATTTTAATGTTTTACTAGAATGAAGAAAATCATACTTTAAAAAGATTCATAAAAACACAAAAGAAAAAAGATGGTGAAGGCCATTGCCAATACTTCTAGCAATCTAATTTGTACTTCAACAGTTTTAGAAACACTTTCAAAATTTTAGTTTTCCTAACACAGTGTTTGCTACTTTGCATGGGTATAATCATTATGTATTCAGTTTTCTAAATTGCAAAAGTATCCATACCCTTTGAAAAATTTTTTAAATTTTTGAAAAATTATTTAAGATGTATAGAAACACATAGAGGAAAAAGTAAACACATATTTAAGTTGGACAATAAATATGTATTCATTTTACACTTGGGAAAATGAGTACATTTTATGAAGTTCCATGGCATATATCATGTATACTACAATACAACTGATAGTGTCTATCCCAGAATATTAGTAAAAAAAACTGATAATGGAAAAGCCTTTACCTCCTTCTCCAACATCAAGCCTTCTGCTCTCAGGTTCTTTTCAAATGTGTTTCGTTTGTCATATTGTATGTTTGTCTTCCGGTAAACCAGGATGTAATCAATTCGCTTTTTGCCATCTTTAAATAATAGTCCACTGGATGCTATGTAATTCATGTCATTCTGTTGAATAAAAAAGGTAATAGTGTAAATTAGATAAACCTGCTTGCTAGTTATAGGTGCTACCAAACTAATACCAGAAAATGAATTCGTGCTTCAGACTCCTACTGAAAACCGTAGTAGGATAATTCTTGCTAGTCTGAAATTTATAATGGAAGACAGGCTAGTCTTGTAATTAGGTTTATTATCTGATGACTCATCCTTCAGTTGGTGTATGTTTTGTTCAATAAGTCTCTGTAAAAATACAGCTAGTATATTTTCCAGCTGACTAAACCATGTCCAAATATAGTTATTTTCATACTTCATCTTGTTCATTCACAACTTACATTTCAAAGGTAAAGACATGAAGGCTGAAAGAAATGAAACCAACATGACACGGTGTGATATTTAAAACTTACACAAATCTCTGCTTTGCTAAAGCGTTGCTCAATAGTGCTGAGACCATACAATAATCATTGAACTGCAATCTCTGGCAAATGTTTATGCTTAGGATACAACTGTTAAGTGATGGAAATAGAATACCCATTCCAACTCATAGCTAGCTCATCAAGACTGGCTAAAGATGCTAAGGAGATGGTTCAATCTGTAAAAATGCTTGCTGAGCAAGCCACAGGAGCTGAGTGTGCATCCATGTAGACGCCAGACTCAGAAATGCTTATACCAGTGACCCCAGCATGCCACAGTGTAGAAATGGGAGGAGACTGGAGAGTCTTCTGACTATCTAGTGCCAGGTAACCTGGTTAATGAAGCAGCAAAGACAGTCTCATTCAAATAAGATGGTGCTCTATAGTATACACATGCACTTCCTAAATCTTCCCACAAAGCAGTTTGAAGGATCTCATATTGCTGTTGCCAGTACTTGAAGCTATTTTCACAAACTGGTAGAATTTCAGCTAGAAATTTTCCTTGCAGGATTTACCTTAAAATAACTTAATTATGTTGATGTCTGTCTCTCATAGTGGAGTCGGGGGCTATTTGGAAGTCCATAGTTTGTGCTGCTACTGGAGACCATGTTAATGTCCATGATTCTTTGTGCTGGGGCCATGTTGGTATCCATGGACCCTGCTGTGGCCAAACATCATGATGGTCCATGATCCATGCTGTCACCAGGGACAATGTTGAGTTTCACCTTCTGTGGTGAAGCCAGAGGCCATGTGGATGCTTGTGGTCCATGCAGCTATGAGAAACCATGTGAAATTCCATGGTCTATGCTGTCACTCATTGTTATAGGCAGGGGAGCTTCTATTGCAGTGATGACACCAGACTCATAATAGAAAATGAGAGACATTAAGGGCTTCTACAATGCACCCCCAAATAAACAATCTAGACAGGAAGCTCTGAAGAAACATGGTACAAGTAAACTCCCGCCATTCTACAAGGATGACTCCAGATAAGGTTTCTAGTGATATCAAGAGTTAGCCTGAAATGGCCACCTCCTGTAGTCAGATTGATGACTGTAGAAGGAAGTTTCTGTCCCACCTGGTCCTGCAGCCAATTAGTACCAAATAAATACACAGAGGCTTATATTAATTAAAAACTGTTTGGCTGATGGCTCAGGCTTCTTATTGGTTAGTACTTTCTAAATTATTAACACATTTCTATTAATTTGTGTATCTCCAGGTGGTCTTGGCTTACTTTTGATGTCCAGGTTCTTGCTTCCTCAGCAGCTACACGGCATCACCTTAACTCCATCCACTACCTTTTTCTGTACTTGTTTGGATTTCCCACCTGGATAAATCCTGTCTGTCCAGTCAAAACAGCTTTATTCAACAACCAATGAGAAGAAAACATATATTCACAGCATACAGAAGGACATCACCAATTGTTATCAGAGAGACTTTCCATCCATACCTGATGGAAACAGATGCAGCGACCTATAGCCTAGCACTGGGCCAAACCCAGGGAATCATGTTTTGAAGATAGGGAGGAAGGATTATATGAGCCAGAGGATGCTGAAGTGTGGCTCTTCATAGTACATGGCTTCTGGTGGGTGTGTGAGTTGGAGGGGAGGGTAGTGGGGAAGAGAGAGACTCAATTATCTTTAAGAAGTTGGCTACTGGAAGTTTGATCATGCTCCAATGAGTATCTGGGCAAGAAATGTTCTTGGTATATTGATTTTTCTGGTTGGGGGAGGTCACAACTGTGGGAGGAATGAATGGAGTGTGATTGGAGTGTATTGTGTGAAATTCTCAAACAATAAAAGTACTATGTTGCAAAAACTATTTAACTCACACCCTTTCATGCTCTGAAATGCCTCTCCAACATTCCACCTCTTAAAATACTACTATAACTATATAGGTTGTACTGTCTACTTTTTATTATATTTTACTATTGAAACAATTTAAAATTTCAATGTCTTCATCATATTCTTCTTCCCTAAGTTCTGCCAGATCCTCTCCCCATTCCTACCTATCCAACTTTAAGTTCTTTCTCAATAAAATAACACAACTCCCCAAAACCAGAGTAAAACACAAAACAAAAGAAATGCCCCTCCAACAAAACAAAACAACAACAAAACCAAAACCTCCATCAAACTGTCATGAAATAAAAGCGTGCAGAAGGCTTTTGTGTTTAATTCTATGTTGGCCAACTAATCCAGAAATGAGACCTGTCCTAGAGTGGTTGACATACACAGTATCACTCCATTAGAGAAAATTGATCTTTGATCTCCCAGCAGGTATAAGTGACAGTTCAATTGTTAACTTTTACCCTAGTGGTTAGATTTTCATCCATTCACTTATGCAATGATTTCATTTGCTAATGAAAAATATACAACCAAATGAAATTGAATAAGATAAAACAAGAACTATCACCTCAAAGTTGGACAAGATAGATGTACAGTACTAAAACAAAACCAGATTTATCAATGAAGACATTTTCCTGATTCTGAAGGCAGTTGTACCATTCTTATGGCCCAGATCACACAGAAGAGCATGGCCTTGAGCCCAGGTCTGCATTCACAGCTAATATCCAGCTGTTATCCATTCTTTACTTCCTGCCAACTACTTGGATGACTGTGTCTTCTTGTTATTCATCGTTTACTAAGAAGACATTCTCGAGATGCTGACTGCATAGCATCTTGGAGAGCTAACATAAATTTAGACAAAGGCATATTGAACAACTACAAGGAGCCTGACTGGGATGTATGTACAACTCTGATGGAAAGAACTGAGTGTCTGATGAAGAGAGGAAGTGATGTTCATGGAGCTAACAAGCAAGAAGTCATTTGTTAAACATTTACTTTGAACTACACATTTTTTAAGTATTTCAAAGGTTGTTTAATTTAACCTCATGCAGCCTTTTAGGTGCATCTTATTCTGAATACACAGATGTTTAGCTGATTGCCAGGTGTCATAGAAAAGGAAACAGTTAATCCACTTAATCCATCCACTTACCATTTTATCTGGGGTCATAGCAACTGTATTTAAACAGAATTTGTTTCCTTTCCCATCAATTATACCATTACTCCTCACTATGGCAACTGCGGTACCTTTTTTATTAGATTGTTGCAACAGTCTGGCCTGTCTACTTTGTTCCCTTCTATTCCATTGCTAATACAGGACCTGAGTTACTGAGTGTTCATTGGTTCATTGGCACCATGGATGAAGTCACATGACTCTTCTTTCAGGTCTCCAGAGACTGTCTGTGGTGTTCCTTACCCTTGATCTCACTTTCTCTAACATTATTTTTCTTAGCATTTGATAACTTCTTCATTGTATTGAATTATTGTTTTGTTTTTGTTTTCCAAGTCAGGGTTTCTCTCTAATGTTTTGGATCCTGTCCTGGAACTCATTCTGTAGACCAGGCTGACCTTGGACTCACAGAGATCCACCTACCTCTGCCTCCGGAGTGCTGGGATAAAAGGCATGTGCCACATTATTCTTGTTTTTTAAAAAATATTTTATGTTGTATAATTTGAATTTTATAAAGGTAAGTGTTCTCCAGTTTTCTTTCTTTGAAAAAACAGTGACCAAAGGAAACTCAGGGGAGGAAGGATTTATTCAGCTTACAGATTCCAGTTCATCATGGAGCAGAAACTATGACAGGAACTCAAGGTAGGAGCTTAAAGTAGAAACAGTGAAGAATAATTGCTGACTTACTTTTCCCCCTGCTTCTGCTCAGCTACCTCCTTCCACAACTCAAAACCACCTGCCTCGATAAGGCACTGTCCACAGTCGATAAAGTCTTCCTCCATCAATCAGCAATCAAAGCACCATCCCACAGGTATACCCAGAGGCAATTTGAAGGAGGCAGTTCCTCACAGTGGGTTTTCAGTCCCCCTTTTTTCTATTTTGTTCAATGAGTAGTCCAATTATATCTTTTATATTTTTGGTTGTGAGCCTAGCCTTTAACGACTGAGCTATCCCTCCCACCCAGCCAAATATATCTTTGAGCAAAACAGATTGTGGGAGTCAACGAATATTTGTAGAGAGAAGAAAGAAAAAGGGGAAGTCAGGAGGTATGAAAGGATTGAGAGGGAAGACCCATATGTAGCTGGGTAAAACTCTAACTTAAAGGATTTCAAGGACAGGAAAAACTCCTCTGTTAATTTATCACCTTCTTCCCTCTAACGGAAGATCAATAATAGGAATCCATAGTGAACTTTTCACACCAGTTTCATGACACTTCATTGTTAACAGCTTTCATGCTAATTTGTACCCAAGCCCCAGTGTGTTCTGTGTTTTAGCTTTTCCTTCATAGTTCATAGCTGCCCTATACAATTTAGTAAAAAATAGAATTTGATATTTTCATCATATTAGGTGAAGAGGGAATTATTTAGTAATCCATAGGAATCAAGAGATTGATTGCTACAGCAACTAATACAAAACAGGACACTTTTAAAAGGACTTCATGCTGTCTTGATAGCAGCGTGGAGTGAAAATGGAACTTTAGTTATTACAGATATCCAATTTTCCATTTTTAAGCAAGTGTTGGCTAAGCTTACCCAAAGAAACAATTTCCTGATTAAAAATTGATATCTTACTAATTATAAGTGACCTTCA